CGGAGTTCCCTGCGTGACCCCAGGTAGTAGGTCTGCAGACGCTTCCTAGACCCAACACACCAGCCCGAAGAAAGAGGCCGCTAGAGTCGAGGGGAAAACATCCATGTCAGGATTTATTACAACACATTGTTTCCAAATACAAAAGGAGGGAGCGGACGCGGAGCGGAAGGTGTGGCCTCGTTGGAGAGGGGTCTGAGGCAGGAGTGGGCGGGGAGCAGCCCGCCCCGAGAGACCGGGAGCCTGGGGCGCAGACCTGCCTCCTCTCTGCAGCTGGACTTCCCAGCAGACCACTGGGGGCAGCTCCGTTCCGGGCTGAGCCCCCTTGCTGGCCAGGACAGGTGGGCCCCGCAGGGGGCTGGGGAGGGGCGTGCGGAGGTTTGGCGGGGACTCCGCGGTCCAGCCCTCCTGCCTCAGACGGTGGGTGCACCGAGACGGGAGGGAGGGGCTCGGCCCCCTCCCCCAGCGTATGGGAGGGCAGCGGAGGAGACAGAACCACCTCCCCCATTTCGGCTGCTCACTCGGGGTGATCAGTGCCTCAAGGGCAAGAGTCAACAGACTGGGCCGCCAGAGGCCCCCGCGCCTCAGGGCGAGCCACAGCGATGCTGGAGGCCATGGAGAAAGGGGAAGGGGAGGGAGGAGGTGGGGCCGGGGGACCTGCCTCCTGGGTTTCAGGGGCCCAACCAGCAGCCCCAGACCCTTGTCTCCTGGACAGCATGGGAGGAGGGGTGAGGAGGGGGACAGTGCATCCTCCATACCCAGGGTCACCTCAGAAACCCAACGAGACAGACAGACAGGGGCACGTTTACATAATTAATAATTAACCAATAATAATAAATACTTAAACCTCTAATCCATAGATTGCAAATACAACGATAGCTTATTTTCTTGGGAACAGGGGTGGGGACGGGGGAACAGGACTTCTGCTCTGAGGACAGGGACACCGGGCTGGGGTCAAAGGAAGAACAAAGAGAGAAGTGACAGCAGAGGGTGGGGGCAGCTCAGCGGGCACCCCCCCCCCGCTCCAGGACCGAGTCCTTCTGGGGTGCCCCGGCTGCAGCGCCCCTGGTCCCAAGGCGACCAGCCCCCACTCCCACACTCTAGGACATCCGAAGCGGTGGGGAGAAGCCACTCCTGCCCCCCAAGCCTTGGATCCCAATGGCCCAGGCGGCGAGGGCAGGAGGAGCTGGGCTTTTCTCCCGCCGTCACCCCCTGGCTGGCCCATGTGGGGGTGGGGGCTGGCACATCACCTTGCAGATACTGCAGGAGAGTCCAGAGGGGAGCAGCCCTGGAAAAGGGGGGTGTGCAGAAGGCTTTCTCTCCTGAGAGGCCCCCATGGGGTTGGGGCGGACATGGCGGACACCCCTGCATCTCCATGTCAGGGGTCTTTACGTGCCTAGAGATGGTTCTCCCAAAGCTAAGATCCCCAGCCCTGGAAGCACGAGGGTCTGACAGGCGCTAACTTCCTATCCTAAACACAAAGCAAGAACCCCTCAGGAAGGCCCCTTCAACCACAGGTATACATACCTGAATTCTAAATCCTACCTGGGGGCCTGGAGCTGGGGAGGCCCAGAACATGACCTGAAGTCATTCCCTTCCCACAGCTGGGCCCAGGCCAGCCCTGGCTCACCCAGCTCCTCTTGCCTTGAGACCCGCCCTCCCCCAGTGGCTACCCCCCCATACCGCTCCATCTCCCCACCTGGCAGGGGGCTCTGCAGGGCACTAGCAAGGGGGAGAGAGGGAGGCAGCCTCCACCGGAGCCCAGGCTCAGGCAGGAAGGTGGGGGTGAGACACCCCATCCCATCCCTGTCCTGGGGGCTCACATCACCTGACACTCAAGAACCCCCTCTGCCTAGCCCAGCCCCTACCCTATTCCATCCCCCAACCCCACTGAAACCCTGGCTCCATCCAGCCAAGGCCCCTTAAGACCCACAGGGACCAGGTCTGAGGCAGGTGGGCAGCAGGGTTGGCACTGTGCCAAGGCTGGGCTAGAGCTGGTGGGCAGAGTCTGGCCGGGCCTCCTCTGTCCCACCCCTGCTCCTAGGGCCAGCCCCCACCTATGGCTTTGGTGCAGAGACTGAGAAGGGAGCAGAGGAGGAGGACAGGAGGGGGGGAGGCGGGGAAGGAGGGAGCGTGGTTCTGCGGCTCAGTTTGTGGCAAAGGTTTTTTTTTTTTTTTTTTCCTCCTTTTTCTTATGTAAAAAGTGCACGAAAGCTCTACAGCCTCCTCGTGATGATCAGCAGTGTTTCCTGTGGGGTGGAGGGTGGGGAGGGGGCCCCAGGCCTGGCACCCAGCTTGCTGCTGAAGGTGGCCTCATATTGCTTAGAAACGTGTGTTTCAGTTTAAATACCAGACAGCAAAAATAGAGGGCTGCCTGCATCGTTGCCAAATCATTGCCAGAATGAACAGCTTAAATAAATAAAAAATCGAAACATTTACTTCTCGATAAAAATCGCGGTAAAACCATTTACCTTTCTTTGTACTTATATATAATCTGTATCTATAGCGGCGGCTGCAGGAGGCCCGGTGTAGGGCCCAGGTCAGCGGTCCCGGCCCGCCGTCAGGACACCTCTATGACCTCCACGCTGCCGGAGAAGCTGGCCTGCTTGCCCAGGGCTGCCAGCTCCTCGCCGCGCGCGCGCCCCTCCACCATGCCTTCCTCGAACTCCATCTGGCAGCTGCGGCGCTTGAACTGCGTCTCCGGGGCCGGCTCTTCGGGCCAGCCGGTCC